GTGGGTGGAGCTGTGAGCCTGGGAGGAGCCAGCAGTGGGGGTGGGTGGAGCTGTGGGCCTGGGAGGAGCCAGCAGTGGGGGTGGAGTCCTGACCAGGGTGAGCCCAGCTGGGAGAGTGTGCACCCAGGACCCCTGCTCCTGTGTGGAACAGCTCCATGGAGGCCCATGGGAGGGCTTCTGGACATGGGGAGGAGTGCTGGGGAGGTGGGTGACAGCAGTGGGATGGGGATGTAGGTTGTGGCACAGATGACCGCTGCCTTCCCTCTGGATGCAGGCACAAGGCAGCTGAGGAGCAGGACTTTGAGTAGTGCAGGTGCTGGGCAGGGGAGGGAAGCTCCTGTGGGCCCCAAGGCCTTGTTCCCTCTCAGCAGACCAACCAGAGAGTGACTCGGAGCTCTGCTCTGCCCAAGGCCCAGCAGCACCTGGTATGTGGAGAGCCAGGACGCTGGGATTCTCGGGGAGACCAGAGCCAGGCAGACTGGGCTGCTGAGTCCTAAGCTGCTGAGTCCTAAGCTGCTGAGTCCTAAGCTGGTGCTCGGCTCTCCAGGGCCCCTCCCAATGGGTCTGCTCCTGTCTCCTGCCAGGACATTCCTGGTGCTGCCCCAAGTAACCCTACACCTCCCACCCCGGTGGCGACATTAAGCAGAACCTGTCCTGAAGAAGCCCAGGAGAACCTCAAGAAGAACCTGGGGCAGAAGCAGAGGGAGCCAGAAGCTGCGGCACATCCAGGGCCTCACTCTGTAGCATTTCCAAGTTCAGATAAAGGCCGATTGCTTATCTATCAGCTCGAGGTGCCTGCTCATTGCTGAGGCCGGGTCTTCCCACCCCACTTTCTGGCTCACACAAAACCGGGCCAGGATTCCCACCCCGCTTCTCAGGCCTCCTCAAAGCTCATCCTGTGGCCACCCCTCACCCAAGACAGCAGATGCTCACCAACACAGTGGCCAGAAGGTTGCCTAGAACTCCAGTCCCGCTGGGAGTGAAATCCAAACCCTCTGCCTGCAGCTCCAGAACGTGGCAGGTTTCCTGCTGTGCCCACCCATGGTCTTCACCTGCACTGTGCCTTTGCTGGGCTGCTCCCCAGATGGTCGCCCCACTGCAGCGCCCTCCTCACAGCACCCCACCCCAGCCCCCGTTGCATCCAGATATGAGGCCAAGGCCCTGTCTGCCTGGTCCCCCTTCTGTCCTCAGCCCAAGGAGTCCAGACCCTTGCGTGAGTGGCCACCCTCACTCACCACTGCACTGTGTTCCTGGCCTCAGGATCTCTGAGTAAGGCCACCCTTCAGCAGGGGCGCCTGGCCCTGCATTGCATTCTGCCCTGGCTTCACTACCTGTGCCCAGGCAGGGGTCTGAGAAAGTGTGGGATGAGCTCACAGCACCCTGTGCTCCATCCTGTGGCCCAGAGAGGAGACTCCCTCTTTTCCAAACCAATATTCAATAGTTGAATCTACTCTTCCCATTTGTGTAGGTAAACAAGAAAGGTACCAAAACCACAGGGGGAATCCACCTCACTGGGGGGAAATCAGAATAAAAAATTTTAAAAAGGAGCAAATAGAGACCTGATAAAAGGAATCATCTGCCAAGACTCCAGGCATAGATCTGCATGCAGCCACCAACACAGGCCCAAAGAGCTGAAGGCAGGACAAGCTCTGGGGCCGACACTCAGTCGAAGATCACGGGGAGGACTCTCCACTGCTCCAGTACCTGGCCAAACCTGGGGACACACTGGGAATGACAGAGGGCCCAGTGAGACGGAGGAGAGCACCCTGCACCCCTCGGGAGACATGTGGCTACCAGCCGGAAGTGCCAGCTCCCACCACACAGAGATTTCTCAGATCTGTGGACAGACCAGTCACAGGGCAAGGACGCTGAGGTGGCASGAGGACGGATCTGGTCCCGAGGGACAGTGAGCATAGAGTAGAGGAGCAGCGAAGGTGGCATCCTGGGGGAGTCATAGCTGCAGGGCCAGGGAGCAGAGATAGTCGCCGAGAGCAAGGGTGGGGTCCCTGTCCCTCAGGAAGGTCACCAGGCTGTCTGGCTACTGTCTGAGCTGACACATCCAGGGCTTCTGCTTGGGGGCCAGAGACACAGCTGGGCCAGGCCACTCTTTTTCTTCAGTACCAGATATTAAACAGCCCCAGAGGACCAAGAAGGCTCTTGAAAGGCAGAGCAAGGACAGACCTTTGTCATAAGGAATCAAGCCCAGGGTCAAGGGCACCCAGGGCCCCTGAAGAGCCCCTCAGGGCCGGGTCAGCTCAGGGATCCCAAGCCTCTGCCTACTTCTTTCTGCTGTTCCTGCTGCCCCAGTCTCAAATGTGAGCCACAGCCACCCCACAACCAGGAAATCAACTAAAAAGCAAAGGCAGCTTGGGGTCGGTCCCTGAGGCCCCTTCAGCTGGACCGCACAGCTGTTCGTGAGCAGTGAGCCCGAGCAGCCAGCCCCTCTCTGCACCCCTGACACACAAGCCACAGCTGCCCGGTCTGCTTTTTTCTTTTTTTTTGGTCCTGGGGATTGAACCCAGGGGCACTTAACCACTGAGCCACATCCCAGCCCTTTTTATTTGTTTATTTTGAGACAGGACCTCACTGAGCTGCTTAGCACCTCGCTAAATTGCTGAGGCTGGCTTTAAACTCATGATCCTCCTGCCTCAGTCTCCTGAGCCACTGGGATTACAGATGTGTGCCACTGTGCCCAACAATACAAACATTATTAATTGTAGAAAACAAACCCTCAAGAAGCATGCATTTGTTAGGACTGTGTTTAGCTGCCTTTAATGAAATCTAAGTGCCTTGGCCCTGTCCTAAGAGCTAGAATGGAAATTTCAGGAACCCAGGCATTTGGCCATCCTCAGCATTCAGCTGCTCTTCTTTATCACACAATGGTTGCTGCTGCTCCAGAAGTTATATCCCCCTTGGGGAAAGGGGCAGGGGTCATGCCTGCCAAGCTGCCTGATCTATATTCAGAAAAATAATAGAGTTAGCATGGGTTCCACTTGGGAGATAAGACTGCCACTCTCCCTGCCCAGAAGACAGATTATCACCAACAAAATAATCAAGTGCATTGTTTGGGACTAGACGTGGCTTTACATACAGTAACCACAGAACCACAATGGCTTCAGCAAGACGGAGGCACAGGGAGGTGCTTAGGGCAGCTGTGCCGCTCCCGTCCTGCCGTTCTGCTCCCTCTGCCCAGCTCTTCCTTGACTGGGGACACCTGCCCTAGTTCCAGCTGCCTGGTCACATTCAGATGGCAAGAGGGAGGAAGGGGTGGAGAGGGGCTGGTCTTGGTCCTGGAAGGACAGACCCCAGGAGGACCGAATGCTAGACCCGGCTCAAGGGAACTGGGATAGGGTCTTTCCTGGTTGCAGGACAGAGGGCCTCCTGGGAGAGATCCAGGGGCTGTTCCCTGAGGCAGGAGAGGAATGGGGCACTGGGTCCACCAGCAGTGCTGGCCCCAGGAGGAAGGCCCAGAAGAGGGGCCCTGGCCTTAGGAGCAGAGGGGGAATGTGGACAACCAGGGTCCCGTAGCAGTCTGCCAGCAAACCTGCCGGCCTCGATTGCACGGATGTTAAATACTCAAGTCTCTAGAAAAACTCCGGACTCCCCACAGCAAGTGGCTGCTTAAGATGTCCTGGCCCTCACAAGAAGCCTTGGAGATGCCRGAGCAGGACTGGCACACCAGAGAGCCCAGCCTGGAGACCACCTTGAAGCAGCAAGAACCACGGGGCACAGACTCTGCAAGCACACACTGTGTGTGTGTTCACGTGTGCATCTGTGTGTGTGTGTGTGTGTCCATGTGTGTGACCTCAGCAGCCTACCTGGCTGGAGTGGACTGATGGGTGGAGACTGCAGGTGGGCGTGGTGGGA